CGACCGACCGTGCCCCCCTCCTCTCCCTGCCTTCCGACCCTTTTCCTCCCCTTTCCCTCTCCCCTCGTTCCCCTCCTTCTTTATTCCGACCGACCGTGCTCCCCTCCCCTCTCCCTCGTCCGTGCCCCGCCTTGGCTTATTCCGATCCCCTCCCCCACTCGCTCACGCCCTGCCTCCTCCCGACCGACCGTGCCCCCCCCCCCCCCTTCTCCCTGTTCCGTGCCCTGTCTCCGTCCCCGTGGCCTGCCCCCCCCCCACCCCCACACTAGCTTCCTCCGACCGACCCCCCCTCCTCTCCCTGTCCTCCGCCTCCTCCCTTCCCCGTCTCCCTCCCCTCCTCGCCCCCTTCCTGGCTCATTCCGACCGACCGTGCTCCCTCCCCGCTCCCTGTCCCGTGCCCTCTCCCCGTCCCGTGGCCTTTTTGCCCCTCCCCCCCACGAAAGCCCTCCCCCCCTGGCTTCTTCCGGCCGACCGTGCCCCCGCCCCCCGGTCCTCCGTTTCCCCCTTGGCTTATCATTTCTGACAGGCCGTGCCCCCTCCCCTCTGCCTGTCCCGTGCCTTGTCCCCCCCGGCTTATTCCGACCGACCGTGCCCCGTTCCTCTCCCTGCTCTCCGTCCCCCTTCCCCTGTCTTGGGAAGCTCCCGGGGGTCCACTATGGCCCCGAGAGGGCCACGACGTAGGGTGCAGGTTGCAGTCCGCTTCTCAGGAAGCTTGCGTGGTCTTGGGTCGGCGGCCCATGCGCTGCGGTGACAGCACGTTTCTCTTTCGCTGGATGCAGGCGGCAGGAGGCATCGTTCATGGCATCCAGATGATATTGTTCATATCCTGCATTCTCCCAACCCCTTCCTCCCAACACGAGAATTGGCTTGCTCCGCAGCGCCTCGCGCTTCGCAGCGCGAGGGGTGTGAAGTCTGGTGGCCTTAGGTCGTCTTCGTCGCAGGACTCCGAGGCCATGCAGTACGTCCAGAGGGGTGACAAGAAGCTGGTTCTTAAGATCGTGCAGAAGTTCCCGCGGGCGCTGCGGCACGCGTCCAAGGACTCAGCGTCGATGACGACGAGGAGGGAGAATGATGAGGAGGGGGAGGCGGAGGGGGAGGAGGAGGAGGAGGATGAGGAGGATGAGGAGGGCGAGGAGGAGGAGGAGGAGGAGGAGGAGGAGGAGGAAAGGAGGAGGAGGAGGAGGAGGGAGGGTCGGAGTCGGAGTCGGAATCGGAGTCGGAGTCGGAGGAGGAGGAGGAGAAGTTGGAGGAGGTGGAGGAGGAGGAGGAGGAGGAGAGGAGGAGGAGGAGGGAGGAGGAGGAGGAAGGGGGAGGGGACAGAGGAGGGGTAGGAGGAAAGCATTGCAGACGCCGGAGGGAGGATGCAGATGAGAAGGAGACGGAGGATGGGAGGAGGCGGAGCGGGATGAAGAGTGAGGAGGAGGAGGAGGAGGTCGTGTGTCGCAGCTCACATATTCACGCGGTCTGGAGCGTGTCGCACAGCCGCGGCGGAGGAGAAGGGGGGGGATGGAGGGAGGGGGAGAGGGGTCAAGAGTCCGGAGGAGGGAGAAGAGGAGAATGAGGAGGAGGATGAGGAGGAGGAGGAGGAGGAGGAGGAGGAGTAGGAGGAGGGGGAGGAGGAGGAGGAGGAGGAGGAGGAGGAGGCGGAGGAGGAGGAGGAGCAGGAGGAGGGGGAGGAGGAGGAGGAGGAGGAGGGCGAAGTGTCGGACGTCCTTCTTTCCCACTTATCCTTCCTCCTCCCCTCCGCCCCCCTCCCCTTCTCCCACGTCCCCTCCTCCCTTCTCCTTCCTTCCCTTCTCGCCCCATCTTCCACCACCTCCTCCTCCTCTCACCACGCATTCGTCCACTCCTGGCCCCCCCCTCTTTCCCTCTTGCACTTTCACGTTCTGAATACTACTCTCAGCTGTCCCCTTGTTTCGGCTGGACGATGTCTAGTTCAGTCTGGGTTGTTTCACGTATAGAATTGGACAGAGGTGGTCTTCCTTACGTTCTTGTTCACAATCCGATTGTTTTCGGTGTTTTGAAGTGTAGCTCCCGCTGTAGCGTGGGCCTCATTTTCGGATCGGCGCTTTGCTCCCGTCTTTCAGAACGGCGCCCTCGCCCCAGCACGGCCCACTTTTCTGGATCCGATTTATTTCTCATCGTTGTCGCCGCCTCGTTTCCCTTCATCCACCTTTGCCTGGTCCTCCTGCTCCTCCTGTCCGTAGCCATTTGGGCTCAAGTCCGTAGCGGGAGGCTCAGCGACTTGAGGGTGGCAAGGGGGAGGTGCGCCCCCACCAGTGAACCCTAGGCCAGGCTCCAGGTTGTCTTCTCACGAGGCCGTGCAAGGCCACACCGTTGCAGTACCCGGTGCCTCCACGGCACGTTGGGCGCTTTTCCAGCGAACTCCTGGTGGAGCCCATGGGCGGCAAGGATGGCGCGAAAGGCTTCCTTTCATGCTCGAGTTGCCGCTACAGCTTGGTCGGGGTGACCCGGGTGCTGAAGGTGCAGAGGAGGGGGGGGGGGAGGGGGAGGAGGAGTGGAAAGGGGGAGGAGGGAGGAGGGGGAGGAGGAGTGGGAGGGGGAGGAGGGAAGAGGGGGAGGGCCCGCACGCAGCGTTTTATGTGCGACGCCGCGCTGGGTGCCGTCCCCGCGCCCCCCTTGGCAGCAGCCCAGAGGAGTGTGGGCGCAACGCGCGGGCAGCGGCGGAGGGCCGAAGGCGCCTGCGCATCCGCCTGACTCCTGGGCTCCTTCTCGCCTCGAGGCGCCCAGGAGCTCCACGCCCCCCCCAGCGCGGTGCGGCCAAGCAGTCGGTCGCGGAGCTGTCGTCCCAGCTCCAGGAGGAGGTCGGGCAGGATGTGGGAGCGCGTGGGCTCCAGGCGCTGGCGGCTGCCGTGGGCACGCCAGAACCTGCGCAGCCTGCCGGGGCGCCGCTGCTGGAGGAGACCGTCGGCGCGAAGGGGGTTGCCTGCAGAAGGGCGGAGAAGGCCCTGGAGCATGCGGTCGCCCAGCATGACGAGGCGAAGCGCTGGCTGGCAGAATGCAGCCGGATGACGAATTATGCTGCCGTCCTGGCGGTGCGTGCCAAGGCGGAATGGCAAGCGGAACTCAAGGCCGAGCTCCAGAAGACGCGTGGTGCAGCGCCTGTGTCACCGCCATCGAGGGATGCCGCGCAGGTGCCGACGGGGTCTCAGATCAACCTGTCGCAGCTCTTGGGCGACGAGAGCGGCATCGACTCGGTGGAGACCGTGGACGGCGACATGATGAAGCTCAGTGAGTTGGAAGTCGGCGACGATGACAGGCATAAGTGGCTGGCTCTCAAAGGCAGCATTGCGGAGGAGATCCAGAAGGCGGTCTTGGCCTCCATCGGCCCCAGTGCTGACGACATCCAGCGGCTCGGGACGGAAGCCTGCGACACGCGCCAGCGGCTGTCCGCCAAGCGAACCCGCAAAGATGAAGAAGGAGGGACTGCCGCCAGCGACGCTGCGGCCAGCGGATCGCCACTCCCCGCAGCGTCGGGGATCCCTCATGCGGCTGCTGCTGCCGCTCCTGGCGGGGTGCCTGCCGATCCAGGGGCCGCAGCCACAGCAGCGCCGCCTGCTGCTGAAGCTGGGCCCAGTGAGCAGGAGCTTGCTGCAGCGGTGGATGCAGCCGGAGCCAAGCTGGCCGAAGGGGGGCAGCAGTGCCTTTAGGCCCCTTTGGGAGGGCGGCCGCCAGCTGATGGGCAGGCCCCCGCCAGGCTCGCGGCCGCAGGACGACCCCGACCGCGGCAGCAGGGAGTTCGTGCAGTCGATGGGCAGCTGGACCTCGCGCTGGATCGGGGACCTGGAGCGTGGGGCGTCACGGGGCATTGAGTCCTGGCAGGCATGGTGTGAGGAGTACCTCGCCAGCTTTTTACGGGGGAAGTCAATGCGGAGCTGAGGCGGGCGTGAGTCCACAGGTACAGTAGTCGGGTCCGTTGGGATCACGAACGTGAGGCCGCAGGCGAGCTCGAACAAGTGGTGTCAGACATCTGCAGAGAGGTGTGGGGCGATTCCAGGGACAATCGCAGAGCCCTCCGTGATTAGTTGCGGACGCTGACGACCCCAGTGCGGAACTCTTTTGCGTCGCACCACTGGTCATAACTCAGCCACCGTCTGGATTTTTTCATATACCTACTGGCAGGGGGGGCGCGGCAGGTTTTTTCGGGGCTGGCGGCCCCTGGGGAGCTCTCTGAGAGGCAGACCCTAAAGGAGGGCAGAGGGTCCTGGATCAAGGCCGCAGACGTGCGGGTGGTCGATGCCGTTGATCAGACGCAGCCCCCGCCCTGGGCTGCAGACGCGCAGGTGGTCGATGCCCCAGGGTGGAGCGGCCCTCCCCCAGAAGCGCCTGGCCAGAGGACGGGGCCGCAGCAGGCCCTGAGGGAGCCTACGGAGAGGCAGACTTCGAAAGGGAGCAGCGGGCCATGGATCGAGGCCGCATCCGCGCGGGTGGTCGATGCCCTCGATCAGGTCCAGCCACCGCTCGGGGCTGCCGACGGGCGCGTGGTCGATGCCCCCGAGCGGCGCGGCTCCCAAGGCGCAGTGGGGCGCGGCGTTCTCGCCCCTGGGGGGCCCGTAGCGGGGCAAACCCTAAAGGAGGAATGAGCAGGGTGTCGGATCGAGGCCGCAGACACGCGGGTAGTCGATGCCCTCGATCGCGCCCTTCCTCGCCCCTGGGCCGCAGACGCGCGGGTGGTCGATGCCCCGGGCGCTGGTGGACCCCCCATGCACTAGCTGCTAGACGGAGCAGGAGTTCGGCCTCGCGGTGCTCACCTAGAACTCCAATGCCTGGTCGACGGCGAAGAAGCACCTTGAGTGGGAGCAGGAGGTGAAAGGCTCGGTGGCTGACGCGCGGCCCCTGCAAGAGCACCGATTGGTGAAGCGCCGGATCCAGGCGGCGCGGGCCTGGGCGCACCAGAGATGCGATTCCTAGGTTTTCTCTGCTGCAGCGGCCGCTGGGGATGGCGACCGAGAGATTTCAGGCGGCGCAGGGGTGCTGGCTCGAAGGCACTTTGGATGCCGCTCCTTTGCCCGTGCGCGCGCGTCAGAACGCATAGTGGCTGCGAAGGCCATGGTCCACCCAGATGTTCCGCTCTGGCTTGCGTCTGTCTATGGGCGCGCAACACTTGGCTTCGCGGGGGCCAACTTCGAGCTATTCGACCAGATCAGCGATCTGGTAATGGCGTCAGGCTTCCCGCTTGTCATTGGAGGTGATCGGAATATCGATGCAGATGAGCTTCAGGCGTCGCAATGGGCGGGTCATCTCGGCGCGTCGATTTTGAGGTCGCCTGATCCCACGGGCCATCGCAGCTGCTACGATTTTTTGCGGCTAGCCGATGCTTCGATCATCGCGTCGAGGACTGCTGGGCTCGGCTCGACACCCCAGTGGGCCCGCATGCGGCATCGTTTCTCCGCTTGAAACAGGTGGCAGGCAGGGCTAGAGTGCGGCAGCGCTTAGCGCTAGCGGCCTCCCGTGTAATAGAGACGAGAGGGCGTGAGGCACTCAGGCGAATGGGGCCGCCCGCTGTCTGCCCAGCTACCGCTCCGAGAGGCCATGGCGTCGTGGTTTCGCGTTACGGAGGCAGCACTAAGCAAAGTTCATGGCGTTTCCGAGTCGAAATACTCTGGCCGGGCCAAAGGATGTGTCCTGCACCAAAGGCCCCTGCAAGCCTCGCGGGGCGAAGACTTGCACCGTCGGGCCAACGTCGCCACTCAGAAGTGGCTGTCGCTCCGTCGTTTGGCTTGCCAGTATATGAAGACCTCTTTGCGGGGGCGCCGGGGCAGGCGTCTGGGGGCGGCGCTTGGCCTCGAAGAGGTCCTGGCCACGGCGGAGGCCCCCGAGCTCCAAGCCTGCGCAATCTGTTCTTTTTTTTGAACCCGATTCGAGGGGCCGCGGCAAGCTCGCCGATGCGCCGCTGGGCGAAGTGGTTCGCAGGATCCAGCAGGACGCAGCGGAAGGCCGCAACAAATAGAAGGAGTGGGCTCAGTCGTCTGTCGGTCGTGGAGGTCGCGTGGCTCACAGGTGCAACGCAGGCCCCGCTCCTCAGCCTCTGCCTGTTTTTGAAGAAGGGGAAGTTGGAGGCCCCGAAGAGGCCTTGAGGCCCGTAGTAGGACAAGCTGCCCTATATAGAATCCAGTCTGAGTGGTTTCCCACGCGGTCCAAGGCCAAGGACGAGCAACGCCCCAGATATTGGAGAGTCTTGGACGATCTGCCACCAATCACGGCGAGTAAGTCTTAGATGCGGCGGCGTCCTGTAGTCCGACCACGGCTCTCGGCTGGGACTCGTTTTTAGCCATAGGCTGCTGTTGCAGCTCCTGGAGCCCCCGGTAGATGATTTCGCGGCGATCCTCACTTCTTGGGAAAGAGAAGGAGGAGAAGGAGGAGGAGGAGGAGGAGGAGGAGGAGGAGGAGGAGGAGGGGGAGGAGGGGGAGGAGGAGGAGGGGGGAGGAGGAGGAGGAGGAGGAGGAGGAGGAGGAGGAGGAGGAGGAGGAGGAGGAGGAGGAGGAGGAGGAGGAGGAGGAGGAGACCCACAGCAGGGACCCCTCTGGCTTGTCTTGGCGGTCTTTTTGGACAAGCCGACGGGAAAGGGGTGCGGCCGATCGGCCTGCTGCCTCTGTGGGCCCGCGCGGGGAGTCGCACTGGACCTGGCGCGCGTGCGGAGTGGGGGCGCAAAGTGGACGAGTCGTTCTTTCGGGGCATTTGTGGTAAAATCAGGAGGAAAAGAAACACACAGACACAATTCATCCTCGATTTCCCAGAAAATATGGGAAGATATGGGAAGTGGGGGGGAAGACAGAAACCCAGAAAATATGGGGAAATATGGGGATTCTTTTTATTTGTGTGTATTTATTTGTGTGTCCCAGGGCCCCTTCACGTTCTTTTGGGGCATGAGTGCGAGCACGGCTTGTGGTAAAAGTGCGTGGACCCACAGTGCGCTAGCTGCTTATGCTCGAGATGTGCCGGGCCTCTGCACAGGGGCGCTGCGCGTCGATCTCCGTGAGTTTTACGAGCATGTTTCTCACGCGGAGCTTCTGCGAGCCGCGGAAGCGAGCAATTTCCCAGTCAGTCTCTCACGCGCGCATTGCTGCCTGCACCGGGGGCCGCGCCGCGTGTCATGGCAAGGCGCGATCAGCAGGGCCATGAAACCCGACGGCGCGGTAATCGCAGGGTGCTCTGGTGCAACGACGCTCGCCAGGCTTCTCTTGATATGGGGTGCTTCGCAGGGCGGCGGTGGGCTCCCCCGCAACATGCGTCAAGCGCGTCATCGATGGTGTTTCGCTCCGCGCGATTGGCGGCGAGGAGGTGATAGGACTAGAGCTGGCGCGGCAGAGGCGCCGGCGCCGGCGCCCGGCGCCGGCAGAGGCGCTCTCTACGTTTCTCGGGTTATGTGGTGAAGCTCCGCAGCCAGCTTCCTTGAGGGCTATGGCGCGATATGCACTGTACCGCACGCTCAACGGATCCCGATACGGATGCTTTCGCCCGGCGGAAGCGGAAGATGCTTTCCGTGGCTTCTTGCGGGAGGCTTCCGCGGGCCACGCGCCTGCGACGCGCCTTATTGCGTCGCTGTGGGCTTCCACATCTACTTCTTCTTGATCCGGTGGTTCTACTTCTTGTTCGCGGTCATCTTGTCCCACGCCTCCTGCGTCCTGTCTGTGAGCTGGTGGCCACGCTCCCAGTGCCGTCCTTTTTTCATGCATGACCCTGTGTTGGAGCGGTGGAGTTCGTGTTCTCACATGGCCCTGCTGGCCCCGAGGGCAACCATAAGGGTTGCGTCTGTCTGTCTTCTTCTTCTTCTTCTTCTCGCTCCCCGGCTTCCTCCTCTGCCCGCCGGCCCCCGGCCACCTAGCTGCGGCGCACTTTTTCGGGAACGCCCAGGGTGACACATTTCCGTCTCCCTCTGTGCCGGTTCGCGGGCTGTGGCCCAGCTGGCGTGGCTTAGGCTAGCCGTGGAGGTGGCGGTGCCTCTTGTCAGAGCGTTGATGTAATTATCGCTGGTGCGCCGGAGGATGCATGGTCAGCGAAGGCCTGTCGGTCCCAGGCCAGTTGGCGAGGGCGACCGCTGGCCGCCCCTCCCCTCGTCCTCGTCCTCCCTCCTCCGGATCTGGGCGTGTAAGTTCGTGCTGGTGAGCCGGAGAATGCACGGTCAGACGAGGCCTGACGGTCCCAGGCCAGTTGGCGAGGTCGACCGCTGGCCGCCCCTCTCCTCGTCCTCGTCCTCCCTCCTCCGAATCTGGGCGGGTAAGTTTGTGCTGCTGTGCCGGGGAATGCACGGTCAGACGAGGCCTGGCGGTCGAGGCCTTTGCTGGGTTTTTGCGTTTAGGGGGCCCCGTGCACGGCAGGAGCGAACTGGCTACATTTTGTCTTCCAGTCGAGTGCCGGCTGATGTCTCTGCCGCGTGGCCGATAAGCGTCGTTATTTGGGCCGGCGCGGAGCGGAAAAAGGGGCTCAAAGTTGTACCGCACCTCCTGGTGCCTCCTCCTTCTCTCGCTTCTTTCCTCCCTCCTCCTCTCCTTCGCCTCCCCTCCCCCTCTCGGCCGCTGCACACTTCGACGCGATGTGGTGCAAGCTATCGTGTCCCCTCTGTCCCGGCCGCGTGGCCGATGGACGCTGACACACGGTGCCCCGAGCAGCCGATTCGAGCTGCCCTTCCCCCTCGTCTCCTTCCTCCCGCTCTCGCCTCCCGGGGGCGGAGCGCCGGCTAACCCTGCTGGGGTGGGCCGGCTCTCCACCTCCTCTCCCGGTCTCTTCCTCGCTCACCCCCGAATTGGCGCTCGCGCCGATTGCACGCGGAGGGGGCTGGTGCTGGGCCGCCCGGTCTCGCCGGCCGCTCCCTAGTCAGGGA